GGGTCTGGTGCTGATTTCTATAGGTCTGCTTTGGAGAAGGAAATGGCCAGCACTGTTTGCAAAAGCTAGAATTGGAGCTGAAAGCAGATATTCTGGATCTTCTTCTAAATGATTCTTGTTTTTACCTTTTTTATTTTTTATTTTTAACCAAATTTGCACTGGATTTGGGATCTTGAATCAGTAATTTGATTCAAGCATTAATGGCGAGTCTAACAAAGATGCACCAGATAAGCTAGAATGATACCTGGGGCCCTTCACTGCACATTACCCATTCCATCAGTGGGCCACTTTCTTTCGTTTTAATTGGGGTTATTTATGTGTGTGTGTGTGTGTGTGTGTGGAGATTTTTCTGAATTTTGCAAGTATTTTATAATGGGTCTGATTATCATTTTATAGTAGTAAATGAGTGCACTTGCCAACTTGTCTCAATTGGATTCTGCTTGGAAACTTCATATTTGGGCTGGTATAATTTCTTTCCTGCTCTGGTTATTAGCAGATGCGGTTGCTCAACAACAAATGTTTAATCTAGCTTTGAATTTCTCCAGTGATGGTGAGTCCACAACCTCCCTTAATAGCTTGTTCTCTTGCCCTAAATGTCACAGAGGGTATATTTGTTTGTAGTGTTGTTTATAGCCCTGTTGGTCCCAGGATATTAGAGAGACAAGGTGGGTGAGGTATTCTCTTTTATTGGTGAAATCTCTGTTGGTGAAAGAGACTGAGTTTGGAGCTACACATAGCTCTTCGGGTCTCTTTTGCCCACACAGAGCTTATTGATATTTAACCTCATATTTCCCTGCCCTATACTGTTTGCACTGGCTTATGGGAATAATTGGTCCCCGTCTTCTTTCTTTAAACAGGTACGTTTCTTTTTGCTCATCTCTTCTTCACACAGAAACATGCTTACTCTTACCAGGTATAAGGCTGATCCAGACCCCACTGAAGTTGAAAGAGACATTCCTGTTGACTTCAGTGGGTTTTGGATCAGGCCCCTGAACTATGATTTTTATGGGCTAGGTTTATAGGATGGCACAGAGCAGCTTTAAACCCAGCCTCGCTGGCTGGTTGAACTGGGTGGGCAGCTGCTTCCTAGCTCTGAAGCCAGGCAGAGCATCCTGGTGAATCTGACCATGTGTTCTGGGGCAGGAAAGTAAATCACTTCAATTTGACCCTTCTGCACTTACAAATGGTATTGCAGAAATGTGACCTCCTCTATGACATCACAGGGCAAAGGATCCAAAGTGACCGCAAGCTAACTTCTAGCTGGTAGCGACACTGAATCAGTTGCAACCTCTATCTCATAGCTGATAAATTTCAAGCCCTGGCTTGTGGGGCCGCTGATAAGAGCATGTGACTCTTTACACCCCAAATAGAGGACCGAAATTACCCTGCTACTCCAGTAGAATCTGATCAAACTGCAAACGTGACAGAGTTCAGGGCAGGATGAACTGGTTAGAGGAGAAATTCCTAAAGCAGATCAACAGAAGCAAGTTATATACAGGATGCTCTAAACACACAATCAAAACCAAAGGAGCCCTTTATTATGCATGAGCAGCTTGTTACTTAAAAAGTTGGCAAGTACACCTGGAATGTTTATAGGAATGCTGAAACTTTGTAAAATTCACTGAATTGTAAATCAACTGGGGGAGGGTGTGGGGAATTGTCTGTGTTTAACATTTGGATAAGCATTGAAATGTATTTATTATGGCTCTGACTGCCTTTGCTTGTTTATAATGTGTTTCTCCAATGATGAAAATGTGCATGAGGGACATTGGATGAGGAGGTTGTCTGGTAGGAATTGATTAAAACACAATCAGATGGGTGGGTAGGGACAGAATCTGTCCTTGAGACAGGAACATTTCTGGTGCTGGAGCCTTGATAGCTGGTCTCCTGTATGCTATTATGATAATCTTATGTATGCTACAGAACAAAATGTGGCATTTTATAGCTGTTTTAGACTTCCCTACAGTTACTAAAAAAATGTAAAGATCAATTTGAATTACAGGGTTATTTTGGTTTTTAATGAGGAATGTGGGGTTTTTTTTAATTGAAGGGGCATTGTCTGATTAAACTGTCAGCTTAAAAATGGAAACCTCACCCATGTTACTAAGAATGTCTTGGCTGATTAAAATTGGAATGATTTTTAAAAATACAGTTTTAGCTTGACCCCATTTCTGTTGTTTGTTTTCAGCTGTTGCGTGTCAGTCGGTCTGGACCTCTCAGTTCTGCTTTGGACCCTGACTCTCCCCTCCCTTGCACATCATGTGCTCAGTTACTCCTGTCCAAAGTGTCAGGGTTTGTCTACGCAGCTGACGTAACATGGCTGTGTGGTTGTGGCTCCAGTGCGGGGAGCGAGTTCTCCCAGTTCTGTAATAAAACCACCTCCGCGAGGGGAATAGCTCCCAGCGCTGGTGCACTGTCTACACTGGCACTTTACAGCGCTGAAACTTGCAGCGCTTGGGGTGTGTGTGTGTTTTCTCACACCCCTGAGTGAAGAAAGTTTCACTGCTGTAAGTGGCCGTGTAGACAAGGCCTTAGAGAGGGGAGAATTCTGATTGGAAGCATTTGACACCCACTCTGCACAGTTGTTAACTGACAGCACAAGATGAAAGACGGTGGAGATTCAGGCCCCCTGTTTCTATTCACTTTTTCTGCCTGGTACTCGTGCAGTAGCCTGGCGCTGTTGTGTCTTGGTTTCCAGTATTACAGGTGACTTATTTAATTGCAAAAACATAATTTTTAATTGACTTTTTAAAAAAACCTGTATTGGGTTTTTCTGCCAGACTAGCCTAGCCTAAATGAAGTGACCCTTTTAAAATAATTGTTTGTTTGCAATATATATTATTAGTTTTATCTGTATTATGGGCGGGCCTAGGGGAAGCCCCATGCCACTGCATGCAGTACTGCTCTGCAGGGTGACACAGCATTCTCCTCTGAGACTTTGTGCCTTTCCTGGTGGCAGCTGGCACAAGGGGAATGGCTTTGGTCCAAAGCCAAGGGAAAGGTGGCCCAGGATGAGGGTAAAAGGAAAGAGGCTTGGGACAGTCACTCAGGCTGGCTAAATTGCGGCTGTCATCAGTGGCTTAGTGAGGCGACACCAGTGGGTTAGAGAAAGGTCCACTGAGATGTCCAGGGAGCCTCTGATTTTAAAAAGTGCAGCACAATGTGTAGGCTCACAAAGCGACATGGGCAGCCCCTAGGGACTCTTTCCATTGGCTATTTCCCCTTTCCTTCTGTCCTGTAGCAGAGCCAGTTACAGGTGTTTGGCCTGGCTAGCGGGGGAATGAACGTGGTGCTCAGATAAGCCAGCTGCGTAAGACACTGCAGTGAAAGAACAGCAAGCTGTTCCCTGGACGCGCACAACTGACGTCTTTATCTTGTTGAATAATAGCCTGCCCCATTTCTAGGAAGCTTTGCATTGGAGAGCCAGGGAGGGGGTTAATGGCTTGCCTTAGATAGATACAGCAATGTAATATGCTAGAGAGTAACTCACTTACGACACCCGCTACTTTTTGTTTAAGGGCTGGTCCACACTAACCCCCCACTTCCAACTAAGATACGCAACTTCAGCTACGTTATTCACGTAGCTGAAGTCGAACTATCTTAGTTCGAACTTACCGCGGGTCCACACGCGGCAGGCAGGCTCCCCCGTCGACTCCACGTACTCCTCTCGCCGAGCAGGAGTACCGGCGTCGACGGCGAGCACTTCCGGGATCGATCCGGGATCGATTTATCGCGTCTAGACAAGACGCGATAAATTGATCCCAGAAGATCGATTGCTTACCGCCGGACCCGGAAGTAAGTATAGACGTACCCTAAGATGCTCATCCAACTTCCATTGAGGTCAGTGGAAGAACCCTGTGGGCTGAAATAGGAGTTGGATCAGACCCATAACTAGGGTGACCAGACAGCAAATGTGAAAAATCGGGACGGGGGTTGGGGGTAATAGGAGCCCATATAAGAAAAAGACCCAAAAATCGGGACTGTCCCTATAAAATCGGGACATCTGGTCACCCTACCCATAACTATCACTCGGCGAAGAAGTTGCGGTGAACATTACAGGTGTAATGTTGTTGTCTGTTTGTTGAGTGCCATCATTGTGGGACTCAAGAAACTGGCCGATCGGGGTAACCAGAGACATTCAGAGTTGCTGTAATGTACATTCTTAATTTTTTTTTTTAATTTTTTTTTTAAATTGGGTCTTTATTAAGAGAACTATTTACAGAGATATCCCATCCCATCTCCTAGAACTGGAAGGGACCTTGAAAGGTCATCATGTCCAGCCCCCTGCCTTCATTAGCAGGACCAAGTACTGATTTTGCCCCAGATCCCTAAGTGGCCCCCTCAAGGATTGAACTCACAACCCTGGGTTTAGCAGGCCAATGCTCAAACCACTGAGCTATTTGGTGTTACTACTGTTAAAGTATTTTTTAAACATTAAAACACTTTCAGGGTTTGTTAAAATTAAATATAAATTAACTATTTTAAGAAGTTTTATTTTGTTAAAGGAAAGCACTAACTTGACAACAAATTTGTACGTCTCTCCTTACCCCGGATTCCACTGCTGAGTCGATTGCCTCTTCTCCCCTCACCCCCAAGTTCTGCTCTGCATCCTCATAGTGAGCCTGTGGGTGTTCTGCACCTTTCAGAATTCAGGTCCTTATTTAGTGCTTTTCCTCCCAATATCTCGCCCCTGTGGATTTCCTTGTAAGGAGATGTGTAGGATTATTAATACAAGAATAAAGCTAAAGGAAGGGTCATTAATACAGGAAGAAAGCTGGTTGGAAAAATTAAAACAACATTTCAATGAAAAACAGCGATGAAATTCTGCAAACCCATTTGCCTTCTCTATCCCCCTCATTTTCCATTCTGGTACTGGGCAGTGACAATTTCACAGGAATTGGGAAGGGGGACACGCCTTTGTACTTTACTGCACCTCAAGTACTTGTGCACCAGGGCAGATATGCACATCTTCTATTATGGGGGTTTCTTTTATTTTCCAGGTCAAGCAAGCTCTGGGCTTAAAAGGTCTATTTCTCAGAAATCCAAAACAGGCCTCGCTAGACAGTCATGCTGCTGGTCAGCTCCATCGCAAACACTCCTTTAGCAGCCACATCTTACGGCGGACGGCCAGTGCCCCTACCAAAAGTCAGAAGAAGAACAAGAAAGGCTTTCCTGAGATTGTTATCGACGCCAAAGACAACAGCTCTGAAGGGGCCAGTGAAGACCGCGAACTGGAAGATTCTTCACAGCCTCGCTTTGAAAAAGAGCCGGAAAGCTCCTCTCCATCGCTGGCTCCCCGAGAGGGGGCCAATGGAGAGGTATATGGCAAAGGGTTGAAAGGTAAGGCCCATAGTTCTGGTAAAGGTAAACGCCAAACTCGTACTCACGGGGGTGCAACTTTCAGTGAGCCCCCCCGGAGGTCCAACAGGGTCCGTCTCCAGGAGCATCAGCAGGAGAAACAGAGCGTCTTTGCACGCTGCGCCATCAATGGCTCTGGTAGGATCGGAGTGGCAACCAATTGCATGAAATGCATGATTGGTTCCAAGGAAAGCCCCGATCTAGAATGCAAGTGGAGTGACCATGCTACCAGGCCAATCGCTAAAGATCTGCTGCACCATGATCAGTATAGCAGTATAACGGGAGACGAGAGGTTAGAACTAAAAAATTGGGGTATAACAGAGCAACCCAGGCCTCGGTCAGATTTGCAGACTTGCAGCAGCCTCGGAACGGCCAGCGATCAACCACGGAGCACTCAGTCCTTTGTGACTCCAGGGAAGAAAAATGGTGAAACTAAATGTCACGGGATGAAAGGTCATCCCCGGCAGAGGTGGCAGTGCCAATCAGGTGGCAAGTATGGAAGCACTGTCAACTTGGTGACAGCCAGCAATGGCTCAATATCCTCCAACTCCAGCAGTCTAGAGAGTCTTGGAAGTCCAGAATTCCCCAAGCGCTTGTCTGAGAATTCCCGAAGGCAAGTGGGCACCCTTCAGAGGGAAATGAATGCCTTGTTCGTTCAAAAATTGGAGGAAATTCGAAGTAAATCCCCTATATTCTTTACTGGTAAGACCAGATTTTTTTTCACCCCGTTTGCCTTAGATCACCTCATTGCCTTGGCTTCCTCATAGCTCCTCCCCTTAGAAGCTCCCACATTTTTATTTTGCCACCATAGCTCATTTTGTGTTTTTCAGTGAAAGAAAAACATTTCTGCATAAAAGTGCTTTGTTTTGTTCCCTAGTTGTGTCTGACCTAGACTGGTCCTTTCCATACCTAGCAGACCATCTGCAGTAGCACATCCATCTGTTGTCCATGAATGTGGAGTGGAGATTTTAATCATGAATCTAGTATGATACTAAGTAAATTTTGAGACTCCCAACCAGAGCATTGCTTAGAGATTGAATGGGGAAAGCAACACTGCTGTCCACCCTGACTATTGTCATCCTCATTAACGTTATGATCTGTATTGGAGTAGAGTGCACAGGGACTTGGTTGTGCTAAGCGCTGTACAAACACACAATTAAAGACACTCCCAGCCCCAAGGAACTTACAATCTAGATATTCTCTATTTCAGCTACTAGTTATGGGCTACCTGCAGGAATTACTGGGTGAGGTTTTCTGGCCTGGGCTATGCAGGAAGTCAGACTAGATCAGTGGTTCCCAAACTGGGGTTCATGAACCTCTGGGGGTTTGCGAAATGTTACAGGGGGTTCTCAGGGGAAAAATTCCCTAATGGCGGAGAGAGCTGTCCCTAGGGAGAACGGGACCAGCAGCCCAGATCCCTTGTACTTCCAAGAGCTAAGCAGATCAAAGCAAGCATATCTATCACACTGAGGAGATTTAAACTTCAAGACTCCTTATAAGAAATGGAAAGGGAGGTGGATATTTTTTGCTGTTTTTAAAATTAAATAGGCAGCTCGTATTGTTTTTAAAATTATTATGAAGAACAAGTTTAAGCTTTGTTGTAACGTGCGTTGTTTGCCTGGACTGCTCAAGACCTGAATGCTTGTGTAGGAGGAACTCTTTGAGTTGGCTTCTTAAATACCTTCATGCTGTTTCACATCTGATACTCCTTGATGAAACATAGGAGCCTTGTCTTATAACAGGCTTATTCAAAGTGATACAAGCTACGAAAGTGAGATCTTGGAAGAGTGTTGCCATTTTCATAATGTAATAAAAATACTGCAGTGATAAATAATAATACTAAATAGTGTGTAATAAGCATGTCATAAAAACAAATTTTATATTTCCAAGATCACTGCTTTTATAATTTATACTCAGGTAAAGGAGAAAATCCCTGGAAATATTCATTTTTAGGAGGGGGTTCGCAAGACTTGACATTATAGTGAAAGGGGTTCATAGGTTGTTAAAGTTTGGTAACCACTGGACTAGATGAACATAATAGTCCCTTCTGGTCTTAAACCCTATGAATCTATAAGCCCCTCAACAATGCAAATATTTAAGCACCTGTTTAACTTTAAGCATGTGATTTCAGTGCAACTTACACACATGCTTTAAAGTGAAGTATTTGTGTGTTTGCAAGGTGGAAGCCTACCATGGATGTCCTCTTTAATTCTCTTAAAGGACACTGTCAAGACTAAAAATTATTCTATTTCTTTAAAAAAAAATCTGCTTATCTCGCTAATGATATCATAGATTATTAAAATGGAAAGTTGTTGTTTTTTTTCCAAACAATACCGTTCCCTGTCTTTGCCATCTGCCATCTTAAGGTTGTATGTCTGGGATTTCTAAAGCAGCAAAGGGAGTTAGACATCCAGGGTGAAATTTCAGAATCATGTAACTTAGGTGCTTTTTAAAAGATTACTGCCAACTGCCATTAAATTTCACTGCAGTTTATTTCAGGCTCCTTTGAGAGCCCCAACCAAAGCCTAAAGAGCTTCTCGAGGGAAAGCCCAGACAGACTTGCCCTCCATGGATTGGGCAGTTGTTTGAATCTTTTAATTTAAATTTTTACTTTTGTTTTGAATGATCTGCTCTGAACATCTGGTTTATGTTTTATTGCCAAGTTGCATAACATGAAATTAAACCAAAACTGCAGAACCCTTTGTGTATCTATCTAGATTTTTCATAAGCTCCAAGAGATGCACATATGGAACCATTTACCATTGTTTGTGCCAGTGGTGGGGGAGCCCGCACAGCCTCCTAAGTCACTGAAGAAATATTAAGATAGGTGGATTTAATCAAATTTTGAGCCTGACTTCTCAAGTGTAGAATCGCAAACCTTTAAAAGGACGAATAAGGCATTTGGATTATATGTTGATGAGCTAGTGACCAAATATTAGGGTTGGATAAACTGCAAGCATCCTTCATCCACGTACTATTTCAGTGCACTATGCAAAGACACCAAGGAGCCAGTTCAGGGAGGCAAATCTAACGACACTTCAGAAATGTGTTGGTGAAAGATGCCAGAAGGATGGGACAGGAAACTGTGAAGGCCTGTGCTTGGCCACAGAATAGGGAGAGTTCTGGCAGTAGCAGTGTGAGTCTTGGTTCTTTGGCCATGCTAACGTGCCTCAGCCCACACTAGCAGGACAGTGAACGTTCAGCCCTCGGCACTTCTGAGCGCCCACCGTGGTATTGATCAGCACCACTGGTGGGGACTTTTTTCATGTGGGTACTTGCCTCATAGAAATTAGACTGAGGCATCCCCCTGACTTGTGGCATATAGGCCACTGAACAGCCATCTAATGCTTCCAGTCACTGAGCTAGGATGAAGTGAAAGCTTAGCATGTGCAGCCCCCACACTGGGCAGTGCCAGAATCAGTGGTTCATGTGCAGGGGATCTATGAAAGGAATATGCAGAGGGAGAGAATTCTTCCCTTCCTCCAGCCTGATGGCTTGGCGTGGAGTCGTTGTGCAGCCACTAACACGGTCTAGGGCAGGGGTGGGCAAACTTTGTGGCCCTAGGGCCACATCGGGTACAGAAATTGTATGGAGGTCCAGGTAGGGAAGGTTGCGGGAGGCTATGCTTCCCCAAACCGCGAAGCGTGGCCTGGCCCCCGCTTCCATCCAGCCCCCCGGAAACCCTGGCTCCTCCACAAGCCTGTCCTGACCCCGCTCCCTGGCAGGAGCTCGGGGGCCAGAGGGAAGGGTCCTGTGGGCTGGATGTGGCCCGCGGGCTGTAGTTTGCCCCCCTCGGTCTAGGGGCTATGAAAGCACCTAGGGTCCTTGCCTGTCCCTAGGCAGGCTAGGAAACATACTGATTTGGGCCTGGTCCAGGCACGCTGACATAAATGGAAGCTTTGCCATTGATTTCAGTGGAGCAGATTTGGGCCTTCGGGACTTTTTCTTCTACCTGGGAGGAAAAGGGCTGGAGAGGGGAGAAAGTTGAAGCTACTTAACGGTCCTCATAGAAACCAGCAAGGTTGACTCTTGGCAGGGCATCTGCTTTCATGCAGCTAGACCACTAGACAGGTCCCATGATTGACCCCAGTCAGCTAGGAACTATGGCTGGAGATGGATGAATGGGCAACATCCAGATGACAGCAGGAACCTGCCCCTGAACCTGTCAGATATGTCTACACCTGTTGATGATTTACCTTGCTGCATGCATGCCCTGCTTGTATGATATGTCTTTTCTGTGTGTGTCCATAGTGCAGCTGCGTGCTGGAGTCATGTTATGATCACCCCAAGATAACTAGCATCTGCTGGAAAACTCATTTGTGCTCCGTTAGCAGTGCTGCTTTTATAGCAACTCCAGAATGTCAAGTAAGGCAAAAATCACAGGGGCTTTCAGACTTGGGTTACATGTTTCCAAAACTTCCTTGAACAGTTACAAATTGTCCAACTTCTTTTTAAAACAAAAACCTTTGGTCTGGGTCCAATTTATGCAACCCATTGTGTGCTCTGGTTGGTCAAAAATTCTTAGGATCCTACAAGAAATGTATTGCTATCTGTGTCTATTTCCCTCTCCCTCCCCACTAATTGATCCTTTTATCTGCTCCTGCCTTCCATAAATTAACTGGATTTTTTCCTCTGTTCTATCCTATTCCACATGCACACACTCTCTCTCTCTGTAGTTAAGAACTGAAAGGACAAGCAAGTTCAAGGTAACCTTTTATTGAGTGTCACTGATGCAAGTTTTGTGTTGCCTGTGCTCCTTTTTAGTTTCCAGGTATCTTATAATTACCTCCTCCTTGTCCTCCTAAAACTGCTGCCTGGCTTCTTTCTGCTGCTTTGCTAGTTCTTGGAGCATGTTTGCATTTTGGTCAGTGGGCAGCCTTTTTTGTTGTTGTTTTTTGGCATGATTGTTTTGTATGTTAGGATATACACAGGATAAAGAATGTAACCCGAGCATCTGTTTTGTTCAGGCAACTGGCTACTCCAGTGACTTCTCAAGGGTGGACTATCAGCTTTGTTTTCATCAGCATGCCTTTGTGTGTGGTCTTTGAAAAATAAATGACAAATTTATTTGACAAAATAAGGTGGTGCTCGCTGTTAAGTAACAAAATGGGCAAATAGCTTAAAAGGATTTTTTTTAAATTACTTGGGTTTTCATCTCCTCCACTACCTCTGCACCACCTTCCTCTTGAAATACAGTGGATGCCAAACACGTCACCAGTTGGTCAAGCAGCGATCTTCTGATTTTTGTTTCATGCTGGCCGTTCTCAGTGCTGCCGAAGGATAGAACAGTTCAAACAGATGGGGGATGGGATCAGGGTTGTAGGCATCAATATGAAGACAAGCATAAGTTTTTCTTCTTTGGATATGTATAATCAGTGAAGTAACATGCTACAAATATGGTCAGAAGTGACTAGTGATTTTTGTGTGTCTCATTGGATGCTCATCGCTTTCTGAAAACTGCAGTTGGGTACCCAACATCACAACGAGTTACTTTTGAAAATCTTGGCCAACATTTCTGACAAATGACCGCTTTCATAGCAAAGGGATATTGTGTAGAACATGCATCTGTAAGTGAATCAACGTTGTTGATAGTTTGATTAACCTTTGCATCGCCCATGTGTTTTTTCTTTCCCTCCCTCCCATTAGGTGTCTGCCGGCTCTCAAGGCAGAGGTCAGTCACTTCTTTATGCAGCCTAGAAACTATGACCGAAGAGCCCATTGTTGCCAATGAAAAACAACATGCTGGTTCTTGCATCCCTCTGCCTGTTAACCCCAGCAGCGATTCTGAACAAGGGTCTGTGTCTCGTCATTCCAGTGACTCTAGATCGGCAGGAAGTAGCCCAACAGACCAGCCTGAGAGAGCTGCTCTTGCTCATGAACCACGAGCAGACTTGGCTTCAGAAGACCAAGTGCTCATCACACCAGGGACAGCAGCCACAAACACGTTGGGCCAGGAAGGTGAAAGTAGAAGCACAAAGGGACCACTTGAAGACGGGGGTGACTGGGAAAAGACCCAGGGTAGTGGTGAAGATCAGTCTGGTTTGGCAGTGTATCCTCAACGAACCTGGGGGATGTTGGCACCAAGTGATACTTCAGTCCATTCCACTGAAAACTGTCAGAAGCAACAAGATCGCGTAGATCAAATGTTACCAGGTGTGAATTGCACTGCCGAATCCATAAGCCAGAAGGATGGTGTTACAACCAGCCCACCACGACCAAGCCACATGAGTAACAGCACCCAGCCGACTTTGCCTCCAGATGATTTCCAGAGACTCCAGCCTGCCTGGGCTCCGGCTGCTTCCATTTCTCTGACCAGCTCTCATGTGTTAGTGAGGAGGTCGAAGAGCGAAGGGCACAAGAATTCTGACTACTCAGCCTTAACGAAAAATCCAAGTAGCCTGTCCCCGGCAGCAGAAGTGTACTCTGATGCCACTGTTCATGACCAGATCTGGAGCAAGCTAGATTCCAGCAGTCACCGGGACAGCATGTCTTCCTCCTCCAGCATGTCATCCAATGACACTGTGATAGACCTCTCTCTGCCCAACCTAGCTCGCAAAAGCCTTCCGGATCTAGGTACCCGTCATGAAAACATTGAGACCGTTGCTGTGAGAAAGGGCATGCGCCCCCGGTCTGCTACGACATCTGGTAATGAAATGCCAATCGTGACCAAGAGCAAATCCAATCCCAACCTGCGGGCCAGCCAGAGGTCCATTGATGAGCTACACCCCAGGCCTCTGGCCAGGGTTCCTCAAGATGCATTAGCCTCCATCCCAAGGAGGCATACCTGGAGCAGGCTCTACATGGAAAGTCTCAAACAGTCTTCTGTCAAGTCCAAAGCCCAGGATAAAGCAGGGACAAGCCAAGCGAAATCCAAAAGCCTTGGGGATCTCACCTCCGATGACATCATGTGCACTTTTGAAAGCAAGTACCGGAGCATCAGCAGGAGCTTCGTCACTAAGTCGATGCGAGAGCAACGCCGCTCCTCAGGCATAAGGTCCTCGGCCAAGCCCCAGGACCAACTGACCGAGCAGCTGAAGAAGCTGACAGCCTTTCAGGAGGAAAACGACATCACTTCCCCCACTAGCCTCGAGCCAGTTGAATCCGAGGAGGAAGAGGAGGGCTTGCTTCTCCGCAGGTCGTCCTCTCGCAGCCAGAGTAGGGTACGGTACATTGCCAACCGAGCCAAGCAAGCCCAGGAGAGGCAGCGGCTGCAGAGCCTGGGTCAGATCAACGGGAGCCCCATTGAGGAGAGGGGAAACCCCGAGGGAGCCTGCTGCATTGCAAAAGGAGCTTGTACTGATTCAGCTTCCCCCAGTCTGTTTACACCCCAGCTAAAGAACCAAACGGATTTTAACCAGGACACTGAGGTCTTCTTCATGCTGAAACTCTAATGCTGGGAAGCGCTGAACAAGGTCAATATTTACATTCCTGTCCAAGCAAAACTTGGAAACCCGGGAGGCATGAAATGCCCACACGCAAGAGACCATTTCTTCGCCCCCATTGAAGATAAAGCAACCAAAGAGATTGGCTGTGAAGAGATGGATGACAGCGTATTGGACATCCAAAATTAGGTCAGGCCCAGTGGAGTCAGTGGCTTGCAGATACGGTTACAGTTTTAAGGGCCTGGGGTTTTGGGGTGGCTTGTTTTTGTTTCGGCAGCCTCAAATCTGGCCTTTTTTTCTAACTGACCACCAATTTGCACCTGCAGTTATCTGTGCGCTCAAGCCACGTTGCCTCCGCCTTCCAGGCAAACCTCTGTGTGACACTAGTGGTGCCCACAGCTACTTGCTCCCGTAAACTGCAGGTCCGTAAAGGGAGGCCTAGGTTTAAAATCTGGCCCCTGGCTGTCTTTCTGAAGAGGCTGAGGCACTCTGAGCTAGTCAAAAGCATAGTGTAGCTGTTTTCTGTGTTAATAATCTAGCCAGCAGAGTCCACCGCCCAGCCTGGTCTCTTGTATGTTCCAGTGAAAGTCACCATTGCTCATTCTTTTAAGCTGAGGAAGAGAAATCTCTCCATGTTCAGAAGCAGTGCTTTTTAACCCAGTCTGTCTAGATGTAAAAACTGTGTCGAGTTATTGTTTCAGAACCTAATTTTGGGGGAGGAGGAAGGTGCTAGAAAAGAGACAGGAAATGTCTTCTATTGACTTTGTTTAGTTCTGCAATAGCTAAAATGAATGCTACTATTCCTTTGAGAAGAGAACTGACCCTTTTAGGTGAGATTTTAACCATGCTGCTGTACATAGCACCTTCAGGATGAATTTTTCTGTTATGCACTGCCATGCAAGATTTTTGAGCATATGTTTTAAAAAGAGATATATAGATATATATATACAAATTTTTAGATGAACATATTTAGAATTAAACCCAACCTAAATGGAATAATTTTTTCATTTTTTTTAACCTTTTTTATTTTTAGTTTATTTTTGTCAGAATTATCATTTGTTGTTTGAGACTAGATGTACATTTTATTGGTGGGGAAGGAGAATGTTTGTCGAGATGTGTTTTTAAACTGGAGCTAAAGTTTTAATTTTATTTTCAGTCTGCCTAGTCCCTTTTTGGGGGGGTATTTTTGTTTTTGTTTGTAACGATTCCTCTCTGGATAGTTCAAAATTTTAAAATCTATTTGTAAAGCCGTCTGACACTACTCAAATAAAAGCATTTAACCTTTTTCAGCTTCTGGACTGTTTAGCTGCAGCTAAAGAAGAGAAATTCCCAGGGTTTCTTATGCTCCCTAGAAGTTTGTTATGGAAATGTGGCTAATTCCCCTTTTCTCACTTCCATGATACATGATGTACCACCTTCCCGAGGGACCACCCATTTTGAATCCCACACAACTTATGTCCATCAGTTCCACCGAAATGATTGGAGGGTGGCCTCCCGTTGTGTCACATATACTCACAACCATTACTTGGGGGGGGGGTTCAAAAGGGATGGGGGTGCCTCTAGATTACTATTCTAGGTGGCCCTGTATCTTCCCCCTCTGTAAAGGTCTGAACCAAGGACCTAATGTAAAGTCCACTGACGTCAATGGAAGACTCCCACTGAAGGCACTGAGATTTGGCTCATTCCTGTAGATCTCATCAGTGGTTGCCAGGCTGTTCGGTGAAGTGTCTCTATTGCGGCTTTGGAGCCTCCTGCTAGACTGTGCAAGATCCAGTTCGTTTGTAAGAGCTGTTCCCTGACAGCCAGAGCTGTGCGTGTTGAGTAGAACGGGGGGGAAGGTAAACTTGGACTATTTTCTCTGTGGAGCAGTGTCGCAGTGGTGGAGGTGAGGTTAAGCTTGACTGAAGACATAGTGGCAAACCTCTGCTCTTATGCTAAGGGCCCTTGGTCTTTGCTCTTTAATGTCTCTGTAGGTTTCATGCAAAAATGCCCCCCCCCCCACGTGCAGTAAGGTGCATATTGTTCAGTTCACGCTATTTACACTGGACGGACAATCAACCTGCTTTGTGTTGCAGGGTAGTCAATACTAATGGAGTCGGACCCAGAGATAGTAGGGGTCAATTTGGCCACAAACATTTCAAACCTGGATATTGGCTCATAAAGCCACCTTATCAGATGATAGCTAGTGACTTGATCACAATGCATAGAGGGACAGCTTAGGGGGGCTGGCTTCTCTGACAGAGCTTTTAAAGTGACATTGAAATGTTATCATAAAGCAAAGTCCAGCATCCTTAAATCTCCCAGATGGAAATCTTATCACTCCAACTGCCAATTGGACAAAAGGTTTGCTAGACGCCCGGGGCACAGGGACTATGGTAATGCTTATTGAAGTGACCCAATGGGGTCTTTTGAATCTCTGAAGAATAATGCTGATTGGCAAAGCGGAATGCACGGCTTGCCAGGACTCGTCCCACATTGTCACCGACACAAAGCAGCTTTCATTAATATTCACGAGACACCAAGTTGGACTCTAACACCGTTTATCATTGGGCTGAAAAGCTGTATGTTTTTTATACTTAAAACTAGAAACCCATAAAGCAGAGTGTTAATAGTTTATTTTAAGCTCCCCTGCTGGGTTCAGGTAAGGAATGGGAAGACACATTTAAAATGCATTTTAGTTTGGGGTTTTTTTAATCTAGTTTCATAATCTGATTCTCTGTATTCATGTGATAATAAGTACCTTTTTATTTAACTAATGCACAATATGCAAGCCAAAACCATGAACCACTTCCAGCCACTTGGCTTTTTTCACAGTTATGAAACCTGCATATTGTTTTAACAACCTCTGGTTCATTTGGATTTTGTCACCTGCTTGTAGGTCTATAGCAACTGTCTCTTAAGCATATTTTGACGATTCGCTGTGTTCCAGTAAACCCAGGGGACAGTGAATGCTGCTACATAGAAGACTTTTAATGATGTGTTCAAGTATTTATTCTAGTGGGATTTTCTTTCATGGTGTCTACAGAAGTTTAATAAGCTGTCTTAATTTCTCTCCTCGCATTTAATCTTGTTGGCTAGCACACACTTTCTCTGCGTCCTCTTCTGCATTCTTGCTCGGTTGGTTGGATGCTGCTGTCCAGAGCTGATCTGCGGAGGGAAGTCAGGGAAGTGCTGTCATCCACCATATTGCCTAAAAAATTGTAAGACGGGTGGGGGAGATTTTCCAAGGTACAAGCGGGAGCCAGGTCCCCAAACCCCACTGACTTCCACTGGGAGTTGGCAGGCGCCTAATTGCACTATGTGCCTTTGATCAATCTCCCCTTCCATCAATATACCAGCAGACACAATGAAAAGGCAGGTCCTGCCCGATGGAGGTTACAATCGACGTTTAAGAAAGGGTGGATACCACAAATAGAGCACAAATTAACAGCCTGATGATGATGATAAGCAGCAGTCACAGGACACCCCCTGTCTTGCCAGTACCATTCACTCCCGGACATCTGCAGTAATCAATAATAATCATGAACCATCAGTAGCTGCAAACATTCCCGTTACTATAACCGGTGAAGTGGTTCTACAATGCTCTCTGGCCTCAGAGAGCCGTAGGGGAGATATAAGAAACTATCCCTGTTATACTGTTAACTCCATGTAACAGCCCAAAGCCCCCGCAGATACTGCACACACCCTGTTTTGCCGGGGCCCATTTGGATTGTTGTGCAGCAGAATGGCAGAACTGCCTTCAGGTCTGGAATAAGCATGGGCCGGAGATGGAATGGCAGCAGGAGTTCAAAGGGGGAATAAGCAGCAAGGGCAGGTGAATTCAGCATCCTTCCATAAGGCCAGAGAGAGAACGCTGCCGTTCCGCTCTGAGATGCGAGTCCTACAATATCATCGTGTTGGTTCAGTACTTTCCACGGACTTCCAGCTCCAACCTTTCTGGTTTACAAGTTTAAAAAAAGGACAACCGCCAATCCTGAATCTCCACTTGTGATCAGAGGTGGAGTTCATTCTGGCTCAAGCATCATCACTAATTAAGACCCTGCAGGTCAAATTCCATCCTCAATTACTAACAGGCAGACCTCATTGTCTACTAATTTGTCCCCAAGTCAAACCCGGGCCAATCCATTGATATCTGAGCATTGGCACAAGGGTAACCAAATGCAGAACAGTATTAACAATATTGTTGTAACTAAGGCACAAGCCAAAATAGCGATACAGGTCAGCTGGGCCCAAAATAAATAAAACTACTCCGAGGGCACGTAGAGCGAGCAGCACAAGCAAGGAAGCTGAAATAAACTGTGAGGACATTGCACTGGTGAGAGTTGCCGCTCAATGCTGTATGTAATAACTCAGTGAAGCTCAATTTAATCAACAGGGGCTGGATCACCCCTCAGAGACCCTGGCACCTGCCAGGCACAATAGGAAATAAATACAGTGTTGCACATCCATTGCTTTTTATTTCCTGCTCTTTGAGCTTCCTGTTGTCTTGCTTTCCATCTCCTCTGCAAGTGTGCAGATGCTGAGTTACCGCATACCAGGAGACGTGTCTCCCCACCTCCCCCAAGCTCAGTGCATCATCCATCATTATTATTATTATTATTGGAATTTTCCAAAGTTTGTACAAACGCAGCGTGAGACTGGAACTGTCAGAAGGGAGCAGGAGCCAGCGCTTTGCATTTCTATACAGCATCTTTCTCCAAAGACTCTGACTGTCACAGATGGGTCTGAATCCAAATTCTAGTTCCGCTCCTATAATACGGATCTGAACCTAGACCCACGCTTGGAGGCTGGGCCCTATGTAAACATAAGGCTGGACTATCCGTCACATCCCAAATCCAAGCGCCTCTCCACTTTGAGGAAGCTTGGATCTGAGTTTTGTGGGTTAGATCCATTTCTATTCTATGCCCTATCTAGGGATGTATTCTTACCCCAGTCCTGCAATAGGGAATGGAGGCCTTGAGTAGCTTTGTCTGTCTCCCAGGAAAGAAAACCGGGTCTTTGCCATCTGTTGCTATGATGCAAAGGGACAGGGGAGTTAGGTAGAGTCACAAGAGCAGGTGTGAGGTAATGGGGTATCTAGAGTCATCTTGCTGTCCTGCAGGGTTTCCTATGCAAGCAAGTATTTTGCAATGTGTTTTGCCTCAATGCTGTGATATCACCCCCACCTTTAGAACAAAATATTTCATCCCTCTAAACACCAAAAAAGGAAACTGTTTGGTCTGGAGCCCATAAGAAAGGCCGTACCGGGTCAGACCAAAGGTCCATTTAGCCCAGTATCCTGTCTGCCGACAGTGGCCAGTGCCAGATGTTTCAGAGGGAATGAACAGAACAGGTAATCATCAAGTGATCCGTCTGCTGCTGGACATTTGGACCAGACACAGCAGTTGGGTCTTCAGAGCAAGACTTCTGAATACTGGAGTCGTCATCCCTCCTAGCTCCTTTTGGTAAGGAATTCCATGCTCCCAGCACCGCAGCTTGCTGGAAAAGGCAAAAGCATTGCCTTGAACAGCCAGCAGCCAGTGTGGAGACAGCAAGAGTTCAGTTCTTCCCACGAGGCCTTGCATGCTGCTCAATTCATTAAACCCCTGCGACTAGGACCAGGGTTTCTACTTCACAAGCTATTTACCCCGCAGAGTGTGACTGGGGGTTTGTCGTCCAAGCCTCTCGTGTAGCTCAGGGTTTGGCGTTGCTGATGGTGAGCACTTGATTGTATTTTTAAAGACTGATCCTGGCAAAGCACAAACGTGCGCAGCAGCCCCTGGTTGGACTTATTAGCTGATTATCCCTCACTTGCCATCAGCTGGGAAGAATCTTCCACATAATTTACATCTTATAGCCCAGAAAATGTTCACAAGAACCAGCATGAAGCTGCTTATTCCCCTGCGCCCCTGCAATTGCTTGGATTCTTGCTTGACTCCTGGGAGCAGAGAATGAAAAACAAATGGGGCGATGGTGTTATTAGCCTTGGCACTAAGTGGCAGGGGAAAGGTGTTCGTGCCAACCACAGGAGCTGGGGACTGACCCTGCCAGGGAGCCAGGAGGAGAGAGAGACATGGCTGACGGAGCTTCTCAGGGTTCTTTGACCCTTGCGCTGCAGCCATAAGAATGAGAAAACATTTGAGCATTTTCTCTCCCTGCCCCTACTTTCATCCACCGTGGTCTCTTGTCATTCCTTGTGCTGTCTGCTCAATGGCAGGCCAGATCCAAAACCCATTGAAGATACTAGAAAGACTCTCCTTGATTTCAGTGGGCTTCGGCTCATGCCCTTGAATTTACAGTTCTGCT